TTGGGGACGCCAGCGCGAGGTCATGTAGAAGCGAGTGAGCTGCTCTCATTGGCTGCTTGCCTTGGTTGAAACAATTGGGCCTCACCTGCGGTGCGACGCGCACCGGATTCTGGTATTCCGATGTATAAAACCAGATGGAATTAGTTGTTTGAACAGATTTAGAGAGGGAGAAGAGTAGTCATCTTCCTCGCTGAAGAACTTCGTGGTAGTTCGAGTACTCTGATAAAGCTAGGATCTGGCGGTTGGAGGTGTGGTCGATGTAATGAACTAGTAACTTGACAGTTTGATCTGCGAGTTTTGGAATGACGCTTGCGGCTGGACGGACTCAGGACTAGAGAATGAAGGCTTAGTCAATCCACTAAATGGTAGGCCCCGCGCGGCGCTCCGCCCTAAGAGATCCCCTGCTTTATGGTCTGTTGGTTTTACTCAGAGGTGGGCGGTCCATCATGTTCTTACTAATATTTATAGATTGAACCAGTCAGTGCTGATTTACCTTGGAAGAAGACTGAAACTAGAGACTTGAGACCATAAACTCATCAGGAAACTGTTTTACTGAGCTTCATTTAAATCAAACCGAGAAAGGTCGACTCATTTCTCCATAAGATCTTGAATGGTTAATGGAGCTGGCGGAACCCGGCTGGATGATTACAATAGATGCAAGTTTTTTAATATCTCTCTGATCGGTGTTTTAATGCTCGAACAATGGAAGTTAAAGATATATCAGGACTGGTGGTACACACACATTATTAGTTTGTAAGAATACATTCACTGTTGGTTTATTGTACAATAAGAAAAATACAGAAATATCACCAGACAACAATGTATTAACTATATCTTGGTTTTGTCGACATCGTAAGAACAAGTCATATAAGATTGCAATAGGCCACAAATATTTGAAAATTTAGAATTTGGCTCCAACAAACTGTCATGGCGAGGCGGACTTACATGTTGGTATTTTTATCAGATTTGTTGACAATAAGAAAAATCAAAAAAATAACACAAGGCTCATTATTTAAATACATCATACAGATAAAATAGAGTAATTTCACTGTCAATATGATGAAACCTGTGAAATCTATTAGAAACACACAGTTCATACAACACATACAGTCTACCAACATGTTCTTTAATAAATCCTCTTAAATGTGACTGTCTCTCTCTCTCTCGCTTTGCTTTTGTTGTATATTTCAACATATCTGAGGAATAATTTGACATTTTGGGAAAAAACATGATCATGATGATCATTTTATCTTAGCATAAAGACTGAAAACAGAGGGAACAGCTAGCCTGGCTCTGTCCAACGATAACACTTTCAAAAGCTTACTTATTAAAAGTAGTACAAGGAGTTTTTAACTGCTTATAAAAAGTCTCAGTTTAATACTGACTCTATCAGAGAGAAGATTGGATATTTCTATATATTTATTCTTAATGTCTGCCACCCGGTCGGATTCCCCTTGAATTCAATGAAATGAGGCGGTGGAGACACTACCGGTGTCCACAGGGGGCGCCAGAGTCAACACAAAATAAAAGTTCTTTATAGAGGCTTTAACTTGTTTGTTTAATCTGTACACAAACAGACATCTAAAATCAAGTTTTATGGTGACTGCAGTGACGGATTAAATAAACAAGATGCAACATATTAATTATTGATTTTTAGTACAGAGTAAGAGTATTTGGGTCAGACGTAGGGGAAAAATAGCTGCCAATCAAATCTAGCAAGAGGCGAGCTTCACTACTTTACCACTTCCTTCCTGTTTTGATGCCGGCAAATAGGTTAGCTAACTAGTTAGTTGGCTCCCTGTTGGACTGTGATACGGAGCAGTGGAGGGTAAATCATCTTCCTCTTGGTAATGAAGCTTTAACACATTTTTTTCTGGTAATTATATTTTCCCCGTCCACAGACGCACCGGCTGTTTCTTCCCCGACGCTCTTTGCTGAGGTGTTTTCAATGCGTCTGTGTGGTCGTCCCCATAAGTGCTAACCCTACTGGTTTTATAGATCCTCAAAACTTCAACTTTAATCTTGAAATGTCAAGTTTATTCTGGACATTTCGACTTTGTTCTCTAACCTAATACCCCTTTGGACAGAGCCAGGCTAGCTATTTACCCATGTCCCTGCTTCCATTAGAATCGAATCGAATCGAATCTAATCTAATCTAATCTAATCTAACCGTCTCCTGGCTGTAGCTAACATCTTTTTATTTAACTCTTGGCAAGAAAAGGAAACGAGGGCATTTCCTAAATTGTCAAACCTTGAATTGATACTGATAGCGATAAATCACTGTGATCCATTGTCCTAAACTACACACACACCAATCTCTGGACAGACAGACAGACAGACAGACAGACAGACGGGTGGACAGACAGACGAGTGGACAGACAGACGGGTGGACACAGAGCTGCATACCAGTGCAGCAGAGGAGACGTTGCCTTTGGGACTGGTGACTATGCTGTTTCTCGTGCTGTTTGTCTGCGGCTGTGCAGGAAAACACAAAGTGCTGCGTTAGTGCTCAGAAACAACGCGGGAGTGGCGCCACCTGCTGGTCGTAAAGTGCGTGGTTACTGTGTGAAACAAACAGTCATACAGGTAACAGGCAGGTAGAAGCTCCAGAGAATCAGTGGGTAGAAAGAACCGACTTCCAGAGATCCACAAAGGTTCCCTTCACATTTACGACTCCAGTGTTAATTAGATAAAAAGGTTTTACACAGTTCATCATGTCAGTTCATTTCTATCTGCCCAGCCAGCGCTCAGGGTATTCCTCTCTTCCACTGGTTACCGATGCTATTCGGGCAGATGGCAAATTAAACCGATGACAGCTGTGCACCTCTGCAACATCTGTCAGATATAAAGAAACATCCATTTAGCCAAAACTACACGAGCTCTTCCAAACGGACATTAGGATCTCTTAATGGAGCCCTCCCGAGTAAACAGTGTTCAACTGCCTCATTTCAGCGGAGGAAGACGAGGTCACTTATGAAAGGACAAACACACACACGCACAGCCAGCATGCTAAATATACACACACCTGGTTTATAAGGGCTCACACAGACGTAATAACTTGCACAAACACATGAATGCAGACAGAAACTTCATGCTTGAAACCAGTGAACTGTGTGATTCCTGCTCATTATTTTCCTCAGCAGGGTCGCCTGTAATTGAAAACTGTGTCGGACTGAAGGAGAAAAACATTCTGACCATTACGGGGCGAAGATGGAAAAAGGATACAAGAGAGAAAGAGAGATGCAAATATGTGGATTCTCGTATAAGCGTCCGTTTGAGCTATATTTAGTGTTTTAATTGGATGTGAGAGGGACAGAGGGTCACTCGGGTTATCAAGCTGACACCTGTAAAGTGAGTCTGTACCTGCTGTCGACGCAGATGATGAATGCGATGCTACTCAGCGTTTACACTCCATTATAAAAGAAAACTACTACATTATTTAAAAGACTATATACAACAGTGCACCCTGTTCCTTTGACTTTTAAAGTGTTTTCTTATTTTTACATTAGTCGACTAGTCTGAAGTTTAATTCAAGTTTATTTTTATTTTACTGCTTCACCGTGGACTCCCAAATTTATACTTGCATATGGATGTGTTGACAATAAAAGACAATCTGAGTACAATCAAACATTTAAGGCAACAAGCTGCACAGCACTAGTTTATATAAACTGTCTAATAAAAGTCTTTTTGCTCTCCACCTACTCCCTCAGGATTAATTAGCGTATATTTCTGCCCCCTTTTCACAAATATTTTCACATCTAACTCGGTTAATTACGAGTTTATTTCGATCAAACCTGCGTTGGTGATTGTTGGAAAGACTAATAAAGTCTGTTTTGGGTGAGTTTTATGTTGTTTCTGTCTCATTTGTTCTGGTCTGAGGTGCTGGTGCGACATCCAGTGGCAAGTGAGCTTCATATACAACCTTTAATAGTGAGTATGATCACTATAAGCTTCAAATGAAGAAAAATGAACATGTTAGATGTCGTAAACAACCATCTTTCGCTGCCGGTCTGATGAGAGAACAGAGAACAGCAGGAAGCTGAGGGCAGTTTCTGTAGCCACTGAGGCGACCCCATCGGCCCGATAGTGTGGCTGACAATAAAAAAGGGCAACAAAAACTAAATCAGCCAGAAATGTTCAAGCATCAGATCTCCTCTTTGAAGGTATTTGCTGTGATGTTTATCCTGCCGGCAATCCATCCGGAGGGATAAACACCCGTTCAGCTGGAAAGTCACATTTAAAATCCATCATCTGTGCAGCCGCCGTCTTATTTTCGGACTTCGGCACTTTCCGACCACCCGAGGTGAGAGGAGTCGTGTGAACAGACTCAGGAGACCTACGTTTAAACTCTGTGGTGGCTTTCATGAGCTGAAAGGAGCTGGTTCGTTCATTAATCCGTAAGAACGATCTACTGCTGGCAAATCGTTCATGTCACCAGGTTTTTATTCCTCAAAATGCAGAACAGAGTCTCCATCTAATACGTTCTTAGACAACAGTGTGCACAAGTACATTAAAGTTATTAAAATCAATCCAATTCACAAGGTTGACAATAGCTCTGCAGTGCATTAAGAAAAGCACTGCCTCCAAGCTGTTCCTTAATGTTTTAGTTTCATTTATTTTTTTTTACAAAATAACAAAGTATACAAGCTCAAACTTTTTTATGTGTCTCTTATCACAATTACACTTACTGCAGCAAAACTGGAACACTCACATAATCAATAATATAATCACAACAAAACAAACTAACCGATAAAATTAGTGTTTTTGTCTAAGGAGTCTGGTGGAGAGTCATAGTGATATTACGCTCTAATATTATATCTCTGTAGGGATCCTTTCCATGATGTAATTGGCCCCAAGGTTTCCACTGTAGCCTGTTTCATCGGCCGCCAGCTAAACGACTAATTCCACAACTGTTTGTACCTATAAAACAAAGTGTTAGGCTTCAGTTTGTGCTCAATATAACAAAAACCGATCAGTTAAAGGTCCAGTGTGAAACATTGAGGAGGGTCTATTGTCAGAAATGGAANNTAGTGTGTAATCACCTGAATATAAGAATTGTTGTGTTTTTGTTACCTTGGAATTAGACGTTTTAATCTACAGATGCTATGGGTTAACTTCCAGGGAGTTTGCCATGTTTCTACCTTAGCCCAAAAGGGACAAACCAAACACTGACTCTAGATCGGAGTTTTCATGTGTTTTGTGGCCACTGTAGTTTTTCCTTAACACTTGGAGGTGAAACTAATCAGGGCGGGGCAGGTAATCAATACTGGAGGGGAAACAGACAGGAAATAAAAAATGTTGGTCGGTTGGTCCACTGCGTTAGTTTTATCATCAGGTCAAAATTGTAATTAGTTTAATACTTTGGCTTATTATTAAACCCCTGATGAAAAACCAATTAAATTCCCATCAGCCTCGGCTGCGTTTAGCACTAATAAGCAAAAGCTAACACACTAAACAACATCAGGATGTTAGCTGTGTATCTGATTAGAGGTCTTCCACCGATTCCATAACTGACTGGAAGTGATTCAGAAGTAACTGCGGGTGAATTCCTGTCAGCACTTAATGACATTCCTCCAGTTGGGATACACCGCCGTCCCTTAAGACTTTTTTTCCGAATTGGATGGATGGATGAAAGTGCAAACGAACAAAAAGCGTCAGGTATGATTAATGGCAGCAGAGACTGTGCTGAGTGTGGAGCCACGAAGAACAGCGTCAGATGGTAAGATAAGAGGAGGCAGAGCGGAAGAGAGGACGACACAGTCTGCTGGGAATTACCTGATGCTTACAAAATGTCTGAGGAAAGAGACAGATAGAGAGAGAGAGGACAGAGGAGAAAGCGAGATCTCCATCAAACCATCCAGGAGGAGCTCGAACAGGAGAACAGGGAGAGGATGAGAACTCGAACAGAGCGACAACAGGAGGAAGAAACTGAAACCCAAAGATGTCCTGCGTCAGGGGGCGGGCTGGGGAAGTCCTCGGCTGTTAGACCGGGCCAATCTAATACTGTCAGTACTGAGTGGTAACCACAATAATCACATACTCCTGAGAACCCAACTGCAGGGGATCACATCATATTCAGGGTTTTTTACTAGGAGAAACCGTCCCAGAGTGGCGAGGCTGAAGAGACTCAGCACAGACGCAGCGTTTCCAATCAATTCACAGCCCAGGATTACCACGCCACACAGGAGGAAGTCACGTGGCCTCCAGCTCGCAGAGTGGTTCGCTAATTAATTCAGTTCGCCACGGCTCGGAGGGTTTGCATCCCGGAGCTCGCCATTGTTTCCGGTTTAAAGAGCGACTCTGTTAACTTTCAGCTGAATATGTTAAATAACTGCCGGCTTTCTTTTTTGGGCTGAAAGTCATCAGTTAACAGACCCAGGAGGCAGCAGGAGGAGGAGGGAGGGTGCAGGTGATTAACACAAGCAGGTAGTGAGATTAAACATTCTCCTGCTGTGTCTCTTATGTAGTAATTAGCAAAAACAACTAAACCTAAACTACCTGACTGGCTCAGTCTTCATCGTGAAGAGTTTACATCTGACTTAACTTTCTAAACATACATTTTCTGCTCTTCTCAGACACACTGAAAGAGGAGCAAATCATTTTCTGACCGAAGTTCGAAAGGTTTCTCCAAAAAGTGTCTTGAAAGGAGCAAAACCTTAAAAACTGCCCATTTAGAAGAGAAGTTGAACAGTAACTGACAGCATTTCCCCTGAAGAAACACAAAACAACCAGACTGAGATCATGACGATGAGCAATGCCCCGTATGGGTATTTATCTCAAATGAAAGTTTCAGCTAGGAGGAGGAAGGGGGAGGAGGTTGATTTATATTCCAGTTAAATTAATTATCTTTGTCTTACAGGAGCACAAAAGACTAAAATACATTCTCGGCAGTTTCAGGAGGAAGAAAACGACGTTGAGATGAGTAATGATGTTTAATTTTGCTTTGCTCGACTATACATCAATTACATACTCGGCTTGGGAAGAGGAGCCCTGTGAGTCCACCATTATTATAATGAGTCACTGTCTGATTCATCAAACATCATTTTAGATTTACATACCGAGGTGTCCCCCCCATTCCTGTTGACAACGGGGCTAAAAACATGGTCTCCGGTCAATTTGATTTTAAAAACGTCTATTTTAATGTGTCGCGATGGTCCGGGAGTGATTTTACTTCACAGAATTAAAGTTAATTTTACAATTTTTTGGCCACTTGGGGGCAGCAGGAGTAAAGTAAAACACAACATTGACATATTAAGTCCCTATTAAAGTTCTTATAGCTAACAAATGCGTATTTACACATGCAGCAGACACGTAGAAACATTAGCATTGTGTCTGTTTTTAGCTCCGGTTTGGTATCAACCAACTCTTACAATTATTTTTATTATCAGGTGATTATACACTA